CCTGAGTGACGGTTGTTTTATAACAATTAATTAGTAGCTGCAACTGTCAGGTAAAAAACACAATATTTATCTACCTGAAATTCTGTTTGATTTACATCGTAGCTTAAACTTAAAACACTTAAATCAAGTACATTTATCTTGATATTGTACTTAAGCACAGTAATTATACTCCTTCACTTTAATGCAGTCTGTGAAGGAGTTACATTGAGGTTGTTGCTGTGTCCTCCTGGGTTTAATAACGTTTATGAACAGTTTCTGGCACTAGAGGTCAGCAGGAACCACATCACAGAGATGAAGTCATCACATCCCCACAAACAGTCACAATCATTCCTGTAAATTCAACACACACAACTGCTTCCAGTTTTCAGACGTCATCCAGTGAAATTCCCACAGAGCCACAGGACAGGACTGATCCTCATGAGACCTCAGACCTGTCAATATTGCGTCAAAGATAATGAGCCTCCTCTTTGTGCTGTAATAACTGAATCAACACTTATCCACTTCTGCAGTTCTTCTGAAATTTGTGGTTGCTATTTGTTTGTAAGTTGGTTTTTCTTTCCAGTTGCTCCTGTATTTACTTTGTTAAATTTATGTTGTGGATGAGGAATTTTTTTAAATTCCGACTGACATTTGACCGAACGTGGAGCGAGGACATCTTGGTGAGAGTTTGCCAAACAGACATTTTACTAAAATTACTGTCTTGTCTTTTTTAAATGAATTTTGTGGCTTGGTGTACAGGTCGTACCTTTTTTAACAATACATGCATTTAAAGGTCCAGTGTGTAAGATTTAGGTGAAAGGGATCTTTTGTCAGAAATTGTCATCTAAATTGTATGAATTGTAGTTTTCTTTACCCCAGAAAAGACCCTTTATGTTTAAATACTTTATATTTACATCGAGGGGACCCTCTCTACGGAGGCCGCCATGTTTTTTACATTAGTCCAGACTGGACAAACTAAACACCTTTTGAGTTTTTATGACAATTGAAGCTACCACAGTTTCGTTTTCATGTTTGGAAGGAGAGGGTGAGGTGAGGGGTGTTCAGCTGCAACATGCAACTTCAACACTAGATATCACAACATTCTACACACTGTACCTTTAAATAGCCCAACTTATTGCATATGTCATCACACCACTTCAGTTGTTTTGTTGCTGTCTAATTCATTGAATTTAAGTCTGTCAGATATCATTCCTCGAATTATTCCTGATTTATTTAGAGGAGAAAGTACCATAGCCCACCCTTCCACTGAATTATAATAAAAGCTCTTCAGTTGTTTTCTCCGTAATCCTGCTGAAAGACATTTTCTGTGGTATTTTGGGAGATTCCCTGTTGATAAAGCATAAATAAACAAACTTCCATCTAAAGTTGAGTTGCATTTCAAGTCAGATGGTTTAATCCATGTAATGTTTTCATTTTGATGTCTAAAAATCTCCGATTGGATAAGAAATGACTGTAAATCATTTCTCAGACTTGATGTTTGCAGGGTGGATGCTGAATTAAAATAATTGTTGTTAAGCTTACAACAGTGCATGAGGCCTATTGATAAACTATTCATTCTTATGCCAAAGTAACTTTGTTTGACATTCCTGTAATTTATGTAATTTTCTGGAACATTACAGTTACAATTAATTCAAATTTTTTTTAACAAAATATACAGTATCTTGGATTTCGTACTCCAGCTTTTATTTTTAACCTGCATGACTGAACAGCTCCATGTCTCTCGAGGCCTTGTTTTTTGGCAGGAACTCATATCAAGGGCAGTTACGATAAATCTTAAAAACCTGTTGAATTTCTTTTGAAACAGGCATCAGTTGGTGAAGATAAAACTGTCAACAAACACATCAATTAAGTAATTACATCGAGATTGCTGAGCTTTGCAGAATGATTAAACAAGTGGGTTTAGATATCGTGTCCATGCTCAGACGGACACTGATGATCTATATTAGTTTGGCATTTGTTTATAACAGCAAGAGTGTAAAATGTGAACATCCAAAGCAAATACTGTACTTTTTATTGTTTGTTTTTGTCCATTATTTTAATGGGTTTAATGGGTTTAATGGGTTTAATGGGTTTAATGGGTTTTTATGGGTTTTCTCTTTGGCACAGTATTTTTCACACGATGACTAATTTAATTCCACAACATCCAGACAAAGGTTACAAAGATCACACAGCCACAACCGTCTATGTCCTGTTTGGCATGATGGATTTTTGTTATGACATTATCTTGAATGATTGGTGAATGAAAATGTAAATGAATAAAAATGAAAACCTGCTGGATTGAAATAACAAGACTCTGAGCCAGCAGCTGTTGTGATGTTCAAGTTAAGCAGATAACATTTAACGTGTATAATCCTAGACTGTTAGCATTAATTAGAATGTGCTAATTAGCACTAAAACACAAGGTACAGCTGATAAAGTTGATGGGAATGTGATTTACAGACTTAATGGCCCACAAAGAAAAGTTGGAAAATCCTCAAAGTTAATTACTGTTCATCCTGAGGGGGATGTTAACATGCGGAAAAAGAATATTCATTGAATGTATTAAATCATTACTTTGAAATCTCAGTAGTGTGCCAACATTGCCATTCATAGATCCACCATAACAAATATAGATTCATTTGTAATTTCATGGTTTGTTTTGTGTGCTTGTACATGTTTTATTATTCATTCTTATTTCTACTTATTTTATTTAAAGCAGTTTGATTCTCCATGATAAATGTTACATAACGTAAAATGCAATACACAGCAGAATAAACCATATGATATAAAGCATGGCTCCTCAGAGTATTTAGGGAATAGATCCCTCACCACCAAGTATCGCATCAGAAAAAGAAAAAAGAATCGAAGTGGCATTATGAAAAAAGTCAAGACAGTTTTTTTAAGCATCCTTTTTTCACACTTCAGATAAGATAATGAAGAGACAGCATGACTGTTCTGTGGTTGATGAGTTACGGGAGCTGACTGTTTAACAACCGGGACCAAACCCGTTCAACTGTGGCAGAGAAACTGGCTCCAATTCAAACACGGTCAAAATGAGCCAAATAAAAAAAACACAAAGCAAATGAGTGATGGGGCGTTTTCCTGAAACTTGTGGGTAGGAGCCATTAATTCTGACTGTTTGTTGAGTGAAGGATAACTGAGAATCACATTGAATCAACAGGCAGATCTTGCAAATGAAAAAGCAGTGCATTAAAGTTCGTCTCTGGTTTTTTAATCAGCGGCAGTTTCATTCTGCAGCAGGAAAGAAAAAAGCATCCACATTGTTTTGCCTCCTGCTCTCGGCCCCGTGCACAGATAAGCAGCAGCAGTTTGTCAGTGCTGCCGGGGGAAGTGTGAACCATTGGGGTTGGTCAGTGCACGTGTTCTCTGTCACCTCAAGCGTTCAAGTGCATGATGGGAAATTGTGTCCATTTGGTTTTTGTAGGTTGCCGTCTGCTCACACTCTGCTGCAGCCTCACACCTGGTGAACAAACTGGTACACCAGTCTCTGGGACACATCGGGCTTGCGGATGATGCCCTTCTTGTAGTACTGACGTATGGAGCGGCTCAGTTTGTCATAGTTCATGGCCGGTCGATTCTTCCTGAGTCCCCACAGCCGCGCAACGTGAGCAGAGTCTTCGATCTTAAAAATACCTGGTGGGAACCACAAGAGATTTTATATTTACGTATAACTTGTGTTTCTTTCATTTCTCTTCTTTTGCTTAAACCATAAAGGACAAAATGCTTTTGGAGAATAAATTAGTTTTGATTTGATTTTGCTGCTGAACTAAAAATATGCCGTGTCATTTTATTCTTCGTTTAAATTAATTGTACTGATGTGCCAGAATCTATTTTGTGTCTAAATCCATCAAACTCATTAATAGCTGATCAATTATTTTACAACTATTTATTGTTTATTTATAATTTTAAAGTGATAAAGTGCTTTGATTGCTCCTTTGATGTTGTATGTTATATGTAGTATGTTGTATGCAGTATGCTGTAAGTTGCTTGTTGCATGTTTTATGCTGTATGTAGTATGTTGTTTGTTATATGTTGTATGTTGTATGTAGTACACTGTGTGATGTTTGTTATATGTAGTATGCTGTATGTTATATGTAGTATGTTGTAAGTTGTATGTTGTATGTAGACCTGTAGCACTGACGCTTTCACACAAATGAAGTTCCTAATGGATAAAGTTATTTGAATCAAATGAATATTCATTGTGCACTACTAAATTATATGGATAACTTTGAAATGGTTGACGACGAAGCACAAATATACAAATATAACAATAAAACATGACCAACAAACCTTTTTCTTTGTTGAGCCAGCGGATGCAGCGTCCATAGTTGTGAGGTTTGAGCAGGAGCTCCCTGAGGAACTGCCACAGATGAATGGGCTGACCAGAACAGGACGAATCTGCCTCAGACCAAAGCTCCTCAATGCCTGCAACAAAACAACAGCAGGTTGTGGTGAGGGTCATTGTGTTGTGACGCACAGAGAAAAGATGCATCCTCTGGGGGACAAGATAAAAACTCAGCCCTTCAGGTTTAAATAGAAAATTCACAACGGCTTGAAGTGTGCCCATGTGCTACTGTGCATAAGTGTAAAATGTCTGTGCACCTCTCTTTTATTGCAGATTGTTAATCAAATGGCAGGTGTACAAGAGAAACTAACATACCTGCAGTTTTGGTGTCTCCAGCTGAACATCTCTCTTTCATCCAGGCGGCTATAAATACAGAAAAATATTTACTTAGAGAAATTATGATTAAATGATGCTTATACCTCTTTTACCTCCACCCTAATATACATGCTAACGCACACACAATCCACAATAAACTTAAATAAATATCACACCCACTACCTGACTTCCATATGTCCAGGTGTGCGTGCAGCGTGTCCCCACACTGCGGCGAACGCTGGCGAAACTCCTCCTCGCTCATGGCACAGAGGTCCTTTCCCGTTAGCTCCTGGAAGGACTTCCCCGCGTGGGGCAGCCTGTACAGATGTTCGGTCCACAGCAGCCACTTCTGCACGTTCCCCGTGTTCCACTCTATAGGGTCTGAGAAAACAAAGGGACGTGAGTATGGCGAGAAAACTACCAGCTGCCATCACAATAAATGACCTGGCTTTGAGGTTATCATGACATTCAAGTCAAATTCCCAGTTTTTCAATACGTTCGTGTGTGTTAAGTTCAGGTTCTAGTACAGATAATAAATCTACTGTAAACACAATGTGCTTTTATGGCTCCTCGTTTCTAATCAGCAGAGCAGATGACTGGGGATCACATTTGGTTTATGACAGCCAGAACTCTTACAATACATAACGCCTCGTCTTGTTTGCTTTGCATGAGTGACCTCGCCCTAAACACTGTGTACACGTCGACTATCAGGAAAAAGAACCATCGCTGACACAGCCCAAGAAAGCTCTTGCAAAAGGTCAGGATTACACAGATCCTGGAGCAGACAAACACAGCCCTGCGTCAGTGAGGATATGATTTAACTGGTCTGCCGCCTTACTGGACTCTCCACACAACTGCGTGTTGATTTTGGGAGTAAGAACCAGTGGCTTATGCATCTCTGAATCAATATTCTTTAACCTGCAAGTAACAGACAAAATTTTTGGATGAAAAATGCCTTGTTTACTTTACAGCTCTGCGTCTTTTGTCAGTTATGTGTGTTTGTACTGTAACGCCCCACTCAAGGATTAGAAGCGGCAGGAGCAGGTGTGGCAGAAGGCACCTCCTAACGTACCTGGGGTGATGTTGAGAAGCTTGCAGGCTGTTTCGATGTCCTTCAGTACTTCTCCCACCACCATGCTCTGCACCTGCTCCAGAGACCGCTCCTCCTCCTGGCCCTCCAGCCCGGGAGAGAGGCCCTGTTCCTGGCTGTCGATGACAGGGCACTGCTCTGGTTCCTCCCGTGGTTCCAAATGGGTCATGGATGCGGGCACCATCTGGGAGGCCTCTGAAACCTTCACTAGCCATGTTGCATCTTCTGTAAGAAGCATGTCGAAGCACGAGTGATAGAGGCCCGGCATGCCACGCTCCAGGGCCTCCACGTTTGGTTTGGTCTCCCCAAGGTCCCAGGGGTCCCCGGAGCCCCTGTTTCGCTCCAGAATGGCGAGGGAGTCCTCTGTCATCCCAATCCGGGGCCCATACATTGTCCCATCTGGTAAACTTCCCACTGAGTTTGACATGGCTGGTAAATGAAGATAAAAGAAACAGAGTCAAACCTTTTCTAACCTGTAACCTGCACAGGTTTCCTCTCAGCACTGCAAAAAGTTGGTCAGAAAAAAGAATCAAATTATTCTAAAACGTTGGTGATAAGAAAAAAAACAACAAATCTGCCTGTAATAGAGCCACGTTTAAAGATGTAAAAAGTTGTTTTAGGGTAAACAAATGATCTCATTAAGGATAATCCTGGCTATAATGATCCTGATAATCCTGTTTTGTAACATTCAAGCGGTTGCAAATTTGCAAGCATCAGATTTAAGACAAAAAGACAAATACCTTCACCAACAGTCCCTGTCTGAATGGTTATTTAGTTGCTAAACCAGCATTTGTTTAAGCTTCGTAAAGAATCTCCATGAAAGCAGCTGCAAGTAAGACTTCCTTGTGGTAATGTGCTCTGAGCAGAAGTGAGGCACGCAGTAAAAACCCAGAATCTAATGGAGATACTGGGAGAATGACCCTCAGGAGACTGAAAACACACACAGGGCTGACAGGCATGGGGCAAACTGGATTTGGCTGAGTCTCTTATTTGTGGGTCAGTGGCCCAGAATGGCCGACGTCTTGGGCGCAGGTGACCTGCATTGAGACCAGAAGCAGCTCTGCCGCCTGCCTCGGCTTTCAAGGGGCCGTCTCTGCAGCCCTCTGTCTCCAATGTCAGCTGGAGATTTTAATCAAATGGAGGTCAGATGATGTGGAGAGGAGAGGGAGCACTAAACCACAAGTGCAACAAAAAAGGGTTTTGTTTTGTAAAGATAAAACTTAAAGGTGTGGCAGCTTTTTTTCCTCGGAGGAAATTGCCATCATAAGTGTGCGTTTATGGACCTCAGCTGTTGTAATCGCAGGGTGAATTCACATATGGCACAGCTGGCATATGGGAAGCCGCAGGGCTGTCACACACACAGGTTATCAGTGGTTGGAGAGGATGCCACCGTAAAGGAAGTGTGCTCCCACCATGCACATGTTCAAGGAGAGTCACAGCTTTATTTGACAAGATGCAAAGAAATTAAGAGTCTCGTAAAAAAAATTGCTGAATGTTAAACTACACCCAGGAAGGGGCCAGAGTTTAAAATGTATCTATCTGACGGTAAACTTTTATAAAAGGAGGGAAAAGGGCCTGCAGATTGACAAAAAGGCTCATCACATTTTGTTTTATTCCATCTCCAAAAGGTGACATGAAAAGTTTGTTCGTATTGTGTTGACAGTAATTTTTTTTGGTAACATTTTGCTTTTGCATCTGGAGAGCATGCTGACATGAAGTGCAAGAGTGCAAGATTTTACTCATATTGCAATTTCTTCTTCTTGAGGTCACATTCATTAAATTATCTCCTCTTTTAAACTGGAGCTATGGAAGTCATAATCTTCCTTCAATGGACCTTTTGCCAATTTTTGTTTCCAGAGTTTGGACGGTTACCAGGAAAGAAAGCATTGAGGTTTTTGTCACCAAATGTATTGAAATATTAACAGATTGCTTTTTTCCACTTCCAAACATAGTAACGTTGAATGAGTTTATAGTTTTGGTAAAAGTCCTGGTTTGATCTGTGTGTTTGTCTGTTGATTACTGTTATTGTTCAAACTGCGTTTCTGCTGTCCTTGACCAGGTCGTTCATGTAAAAGAGATTTTTGATCTCAATGGGACAAACCTGGTTCAGTAAAGGCTAGGATCAAACAATTGTGTCCATCCTCATTTTCTTGTTCGCTGCTTCTCTCTTCTTTCCCTTTTTCTTCACCACTCAGTTGCCAAACCAACATCGAGTTGGCCATATTTTGCATTCTTCTTCTTCTTCTCTTTGGTTTATTGGCGGGTGGCAACCAATGTCAAGTTGTATCACCATCATCTCTGCACCTTCTATCTTCCACTGTACTATTCTCTACTCAAAGTTACAAAAAAAACCCAAAATTTTTCTTCTTTGTTCGTTTTATTGGCGGGTCTCTCTCTCTGTATCATTTACCGTCATTTCTTTTGAATTGCATTGTATTATTTTGCTTGTGGTCTTTGATGTGACTTTGATTTTTTGTGAAATACTACTGTAACATCAGAAAGGCACTTCTTCTTCTTCTTATCATTATTCTTATTACTAGTTTAATTTTTTTAAAGCTGCTGGCAACTGATGAGAAAGTTGTTTCTTCTTTCCAGACTTCCCCAAAGATAAATGAAGTTATCTTCCCTCCCTCCTTAGAAAAGGTTCTAGGTCTACTCTTTAGTCCTCAACCCCCCACTGTAAGACCTCCATCCCCTGTCTTCTTTTTATCTCTGAATGTTTCTTAAACTTTCAGCCACTCTCCCTCTCACTCCATCAGAAGTCAGATTAAAAGCCACTGGTATGCTGGGTGTTAACTCTGCTCTGTAACAGCTTGCGCTAAACCCATTAGCAAAGCAAATTTAGCCATATTACCTTCTTCCAAAAGGAAGAGGGGGCACTAGAAAAAGACACAAACACACACCCCCGAGGAGAGGGATTAAGACCCTGACTGATCTCTAAATGAGTTTGGTCAAGACGCTGATATTCATTTCAGGAGCATTAGAGCTTGCTCCATTTACTCAGCAAAGTCAGCCTTTGACACTGAGGGGGAAAGGATTCAGGACTTCAGGCCTCCACGCTGGGAACCATATTTCTTCTACATGCTTGGTCTTATTTAACATGAGGATGGCGAGATTCCTGTTATCACCTCAGGTTTCTTCTTCTTCCAATCCATTGTTATTACATCATTTCATGGTTTTCTAGCAAAAATTCCTGCAAAACTAAATCAGACATTTAAAATACGGTTTTGAGCTTTTGACGTTTGAATGGTGGAAATGTTGGAGCAACTGAAGAAGTAAGTTCCAGAGAAAAAAGGAGTGTCAAGCATGTGTCAAGCTGCTTTTTGCTCAATGTGATGTATTTTATGACGTCACAGACAAGTGCAGTTGTTCTGTTCACATTATAAATCACACTGAAGCATCTATTTTTAGTGGTTTTGTTATTGCTAATTTCATGATTTTTTCAATAAAAGTTGATTCTGTGTTCTCTTTTATTGCTATTTACACGATCTATACTTTACAGACTGTTGTTAATAATAATAATAATAATAATAATGACACTTTATTTCTATAGTGCCTTTTACAACCAGAATTACAAGGTGCTTGTCAAACAGACCAGATATCAAATGAAATAAAATATTCATAGAATATATACATGCAAACCCAGACCAAACAAAAGAAGAAGAGAAAGAAAACAATAAAATAAAGTTATAAACTGTTTTTTAAACTGAGGCACACAAACACCTGCTCCCTCTTTGTGGGAGGATTCACTCAAACTTATATTTGTACTTATATTCTGTATCTGTTATTATTGAATTAGAATCTCTCTTGTTTTTCTTCCCCTGGCAGGTTACAGTAACTGCCAATGGGGGATGTCTGGGCTGGTAGTCAGGTGCACTGGCTTCAGGCCAGTAACCAAGGAAACACTGAACCATTTATCAGGCTTCTGCTGTTTGTCCAATTTAATTTTGACAGTGGTGTCAACTATTTATCTTTGATGTTGCAGATAAATGATTTCATACAACTTTTTCTGGATTCAAAGGCAAGTGCTGATGCTGCTGGATTTAAGCTACTGATAATCGGAAAACTAGTGCCACCATCTATTTATCAGGTCCAACTCCAAAAATTAGTTCAACAGTGATATAAAATAAAATACTATTTGTATCACTTATATACAAATCATGATTTTGGAGTTGTGCCTTAATTTTTATTTATTTTGCCAATTTTATCGTAGTTCATTAAAAATGTACACCTTCAGTGGAAAGGCAACTACATGTTTAGGATCTAAAGGAGGGATGAGAAAATGTGATTTACTCAGGGACGGTTTGGCTTTATTAAAAAAAAGTAGCATAAAACATTAAATATTTTCTTCCTCCACGCCAAAAATATTTTCCGTACAGTCCCTCAGAACCACAGAGCTGCTTGTAAGATAAATAAAATTGCATCCACACCTTCTGGAATAACAGCAGTTATTACATTTTTTTTAATATGTGGTTGTAGCTGCTGTATTTAATTTTACACCATAAATATCCTGTCTGAACATGACATTCATGACAAAACTATTTTGGTTATGTCGCCTAATCATTGTGGTTTTTATCACGAAACCACCAACAACCTCTCAGACTTTTTTTATCTGACCTTATCTTGCTAAGTGAAAGCTAATATGTAATCGTATGTGCACTAGAAACAAGATAAATGGTCAAACAAACAGGGAAAACAAAACAAAATGATGCAATAATAAAATATGACAGCTTTTCATCCAACTCTCCTTCTCCCCCTGACTGATTATCTGTCAATAAAACAATTTCACTTTCCCAGATGTGCTTTTGTTTTCAAATCAGTCGTCAACTAATGATATTAAATACAGACTTCATGTCTATTGTAACTACACAGAAAAACGTGTATAACAACTTACAGCTTAGTTTAGTTTATTAGTAGTAGTAGTATTTAGTGTAGCGTGTGAGTTGTGTGTATGCAGTATAATTAATATTACATAAAAAATATGTGGAGAAATAGTTGCAAAGTAGATGCTTTCATATTTTCTCTGACAGGTGAGAGAATAATAATATTGTGAGCATGCGTATGAGAATAGAACATTTGATTTAGTTAATTGCAAACCACACCGAGTGTCACACCAAACTAAAATTTCCTCCCTGAAATAAATAAAAAATAAAGAACAAGACACTGTGTGAGGCTGCGTCTTCTTACCGTGGCGAAGATGCTCTGATGACCAGAGGCGAAGACTTGACTGTTTGATGGTAGATGAGGTTCAGTTCTGGTTCTGTTCAGGATGAGCGATGACTTTTGGCCCGGGCGCTACCCGAAGACAGAGCAGGAGGAGCAGAGGGCAACCCTTTAATCTGCTTGCCCTTCTGAGGACAGTCACAGAGCCCCCAGCCCAGACGACCCTCCCAGGCTTTTTTACAATTAACCCAAAAGTCACAGCCTAAAGCACAACTGCAAACTTTTAACTTGGAGGGACAGCACCTGCTGGGGGTGTGTACAAAGTGAGAGGGAGTCAGAGAAGGTGACTGGGCGAGCGAGTGCAAAGGAATCCAGGCTCCACTGACTGCAATTTATATTTATAGCCCAGATGTGTTTACCTACGCACTAATAAACAGTGTGTGTGTGTGTGTGCGTGCGTGTGTATGTGTGTGTCTATTGTAGGGACCTAAATCTATTTGCACAGTCAAATTATGGGGACTTGTCTTCCTTCTGGGGATAAAGTCTCAGGAAATTAATGAATGAATGCAAGTCAATGTGTGTGTGTGTGTGTGTGTGTGTGTGTGTGTGTGTGTGTGAGTGTGAGTGTGAGTGTGAGTGTGAGTGTGAGTGTCTGAAGTATTGGCTCGGTGAGAAGTCCACTTTCACGACAGACTTATCGAGTGACCCTCTGGATTGAAGGCCCGCACTGAACTGACTGACTCAAGTAGAGAAATGAAAATCCACAACAACTCTGATTCAATCAGTTTTAACAATCTAATACACATCAGTCACGGGGTGTTTTTTCTGCACGATGAGCACTTTTATTTTTATTTATTTTTAACTTTGAGTTCAGGACTATTACTTAACTATGATTAGGAATAATAACAAAAAGATTGAGGATTTTTAGAGTTAAAAAGATTTTAACTCACCTCCAAACTGCTGAAGGATGATAATGTTTTCACAGGAGGAGGATTTGATGCTTGAGGAGACGATGTCTTTGAGAACCTCATGGACCGGAGAGACAAGTGAAATAATGTTTTCAGTTTATGTGAAATGCTTTAAGACTTTGAGTAAAAGTAGCAACACGACAACACATTGCTTATAAATCTAATGTTTTCAAATACTCGATTAAAAGTGCTTTAATATCATCTTCAGAAGTATCTTAAACATACTTATGATGCAGAATGTTTTGTTTGAGATCATACTACTGACATTCTTTTAATGTATGCTATGAAAAGTATTGAAAGATCCCACACACTGTGCTGCTTTATGTCTTTTCATTTAATCTCCACTCTCCATCACATGATTTAGTTTTGATGCATTTACTCATAATAGTAAATATAGTGATATCGTGCATTGTGAGTCCTCAGTCAGCACAATATTTACAATGCATCACCTGAAGGAAATAGTATCTATAGCTGTTTAACAGCTAATAATAAACCCTCCTCTCTAATGTGGTTTACATTCATATACAATTAAACACTTTTATAGAATATGTCCATGAAACTCCGGCTCCACTTACATTATATTATAAAGTCACCTCACACCACATGAGGCTACAGATTCATAAGGTTTTTGTCTCCTTAAGTGACTTTACAGCAACATTTAGATTAAGAGCTAATATTTAGTTGCATGTGTGATATCGGAACTAACAATAAAGAGAACAAGCACCTATTGAGATCTCTATCTTTGCACAATACAATTTAAAGTATTGATGGAGAAACGTCAGCACTGCAGCTCACCTCTGAAATCATTTCCATATATTTAGAGCAAATGAATCTTTACCACAAAGGTAAAAAAAAATGTCTGTGGTGAAGTCTGTTTGCAAAGTTAATGCATTGTAATTGTTTCCTTTAGAATAGCCCTCTGCGTAGTCAGAGCGTATTTAAACAATGTGACGGAAATAACAAGTGTTGGTGAAAAGGCTTTAGAAGAAAATGAACAAAACAGTGGTCACCCACAACAATTAAAGTTCTCACTGCATATCTAATCTTTCCCCTCTAATCTGGCTCTTAATTCACTTAATGGCTGCTCTTCTGATAGCGACTACTAAAGCTTAAAGTTTCTTTTTCTTTTGTCATGTTTCTATTCTTTCCGATGAAGGAGCTATGAGTTTGGTCGGCCACAGTTCTCAATGGACTGATTGTGAGCCGCAGAGAGGGCGTGCACAGACTGCGTCAAGACATCTCAGCTGCAGAGTGTTTGTGGACACACCAAATCAAACTGTGAGCGACGGCCACCTCATTGGACAATTTAGCATGAATGTTTGTACTTGTGCTGGACAAACGCATGTATGTTATATATGTTATATATAATATTTATGTATGGACTTGTGGGTGCGTAGCGTAGCCTGCATACACATCTTATCACATTTAACTGTCTCATAATTAAAACTGGATGCTGCCTTGCACTTGCTAAAACAAACAATTACAGCTACCCACAGTGTGTAGGCTCTGCATGTGTTTGCTTTCGCCCACATGCAGCCCAACAACTAAATTTGCATGGCAGTTCCTTTAGCTAGTGTTTGACCTTTTCTTAGGTTCCAGAACAGCTTTATCATGGTTCAGTGTGACAATGTGATCAGGGAAACTAACTGGAAGTCAAATACGGAGCCACAATTGACACACTGTGATGCTTCTGAGTCAGCGATCCACCTGAGCTGTTCTGGCAAAGTCAATAAACAGGAGTCACTGGATTCAGTTTAGTTGCTGATGAGTGAGTCTGGGTGTTACATGTGAGTCAGAATATGATACATATCTTTATTGCAACACTTTCAACTGTAGTCAAATAGAAATTCAGTTTTGTTGGAAAAGTGTGACAGACAAGACGAGAGGAGACAAGACAAGACAAGACAACATAAGACAAGACAAGACAACATAAGACAAGACAAGACAACATAAGACAAGACAACATAAGACAAGACAAGACAACATAAGACAAGACAAGACAACATAAGACAAGACAACATAAGACAAGACAAGAAAAGATTAGACAAGATAAACCTTTGTTGATCCTCTGTAGAGAAAATGCACAAATGACACAGTGGCACAAGGGGAAGATGTAGTAAGAAATAAAAATATGAATAGAAATAAAACTAGAAATACTAAATACAATAAAACTAGCAATAATACTAAGGGTGTTTTTTCTAAAAAGGGAAATATCGGATGGGGATCAAGGCACAAAATGCGCCACAGTTCTTTCTTGCATTGTAGATTTTAATGTTGTAATATCGGCCTCATGTCGGCACGTTCCACGCATAAAAGCCAACTGCTGATTGAATGCAAATAGGTACAATTAAATCCAGTGCATAGTGAGCAGCGGAGCTGCATTATATTACTGAAGCGTGGTAATTGAGTGAGTTTGGCAGCAGTGGTAATGCTGCCCCTAACAAGTTCAGTTATAAAGCCAGTTTTCAAAACTTCCTTTAGCTGATGAGCTTCTCCAACAGCCAGGGCAACGTGCCAGGGCCTTTTTCTGCTTGTACAACAGTTAGTGCTGCGGATACATGCACAATCCTGCAGATGTGCTACAGCCCGCAGATGTGGGGTCAAAAGATCAGATGTTATATCATGCCGCACTGAACAGGTGTAGAAGCTCGAGATAAAAAGGGACAGATAAGATGAGCAGTGGTGGAAGTGTGTGAGTTTCAGTCATGGATGTTTTTTGACAAGCACATGGGTGAAGTTTTTCCCTGATTGACATCAGCTCTCTGTCTGTCTGTTGCTGTGTTCAAAATCACCCACTCATTCACTCACCACTACTTCAGTACACAGGGTGTTCTATGTAGAGGGTTTAGTTATGAAGTCATGAATGTGTTTTTACATTATAAACTTATTGACTATTTGATGTTGTTTTTTGCAGACAAACTTTGTACTTTTTCTTTTAATCTTAAATCCTTTTAAAGCTCATTAAGCTATCAAATAGACATTTTTATTGGACAATCATTTATGACTTGAATAAATCTTTTATTACCATTTCCATGACACACCTGAAGAAGGGGTGGGGGGGCAAAAAGTTGTATGTTGAAGTTTGTCTGCAGGTGAATCAAACTCATGCAGGAGATGGATTTTGATGCTCTTCTGGAATAAAATGCAGGTAATTATTGGGTGCCAAAGCTTGAACTGAAACTGGCAGATCACGGCGACCTGCCAAAGACTACTGCTATTTGATATCATTTGGATCCAATCCAGAGTAGTTGTGATGTGAAGCAACTTTGCCTGGTGTGACTTGAAATGTACAGGCCTCTCTATATTGATTTTGCAACATTCAATCTATTTATTATGAAGGTATTGAATTGTTACATGTCTGAGCTACTTTGTGAAAAATGTATGTAAGTCATCTCTCCTGAATCTTACAGGGCTATAAAGTTTAACTCTCTACAACAACCCAACAGCTGTAGTGAATATTAAAGACTTCTCCCAACATCATTTGGTATGTTGCATAAATCGCTTTAGATCAATATTTAAAATTTAAAATACACTTAAAATACTTATACCAGTTTGAATATTGAGTTCAACTGAGTCTGAACAATGAGTCTGAATGTCTTTCTCTGGATTCATGACAAAGATTTTCTTATAATGCAGTTATGTTTGCCATGTAACACAAAAGATCTTCTGAGACATCCTTGTGTTGCAACATTTCCCAACCTGACAAATAAAATCCTTAATCTAATCAATTCAAACGCTCCAAGGCAGCAGGAACTCTATCAACCAGATGGTGTATGAAATCACACATCTGCTTCCTGTCTGGGCCTCATGACCTCTCCAACACACTGCACAGTTTTTGCATTATACCGAATAAGCAAATGTGAAAGTCATCTTCTAAAAAAAATGTTTATCTGAAATTGAAAGTTGATTTTGATGATTAGCAGCCATCTCCTCTGTGCCGTGCAGCATCTATTTGTCGAGTGGTGTTCACGATGTGCGTTGCCGGGGGCAAAACAGAATGGAGAGGCTCATTTGAATGTCGTCAGATAAGCATCAGAGGAAGAGATTTTTAAATTAAACATTTCAGTTTGCCTCAAGCCTTTTCCCTCCAGTCTCACTGCAACCAGTTCCCAAAGAGAAATCAAATGGATGAAAAATATGGAGCAAAAAAAAAAGATCAAAAGCACTACAATGCTTCTCCACTTTAATGTCGATCTTACTTGTCAAACGAGTCGGTCTTCCACACTGTCCGTCTGTGACACGTTTCTTTTTAATTTCTTCACTTTTACACTCTCGGAGCCTCGTGCTACAAATGTCTGTTTGACTTTGGCAAAGATGATGGGCAGTTAAAACAAACCTTTATTCAATTTCTAAAAAGAGATTGATGTGATAGGAGCTCTGCAGAATCCACACTGAGACAAAAGTCAATATTTGTTCTCAGTTACGCTGTCACACTATGTCCGCACATGCCCCATTCCAGTAATTTCCTCAGTGCGTCCCACCTGCGTGCACATGGGCATCGAGCACACGCAGGTTTATTCCTCATGATAGTGACCTGAATTTAAAATGGTAAAAGTATCAACAAACAACAGTTTAACATTTAAAGGTCCAGTGTGTAAGATTTAGGTGAAATTGGCAGAAATTTAATGTAGAATAATCCTCATGATGTTTTCACTAGTTAGTTTCATCTAAATTTTATGAATTGTAGTTTTCTTGATCCCAGAAAAGTCCCTTTATATTTAAATACTTTATATTTACATCAAGGGGACCCTCTCTATGGAGGCTGCCATGTTATTTTACATTAGTCCAGACTGAACAAACTAAAGACCTTTTGAGTTTTTATGACAATTAAAGGGGTGTTCAGCTGCAACATGCAACTTCAACACTAGATATCACAAACTCCTAAACACTATACCTTTAAGATGGTATCTTTGGAGAATTACATATTTATTTCACATTTTAGTTGGAGAAATGGATTTATACTTCTCGGCGGTTTACACCTGCAGCTATAGTCTCAATTTCAAGATATCATATTAATTAATTTAGCTCTGGGATCAGTTCCAAAGGGCCTGTAGGAGCCTGTGAAATCCACAGAGAAGCATTCTTTGCTCCATTTCTAACAAATATATTGTGTAATCTTTGGCTCTGTGTGTTTAATAATTGACATTTGCAACAATAAGGTTGCAAGGAAAGATTGTTTTGCTTGGAAGCAATGAAAAACAAGTGTTAGGTCACACACTCTGCCTCTGTGGAATGATTACGAACCGACTTGGTTCCCATCAGCACAATACCTGACACTGTTTGTTTGGATGGTATCAACGACATCTCAGTATCAGCTAACTGCCATGTTCAGGTCGTTACATGGGTTGTAATGGATATAAGCATCACATGCAAATGTGCTGTTAAGATCTTTAGCCTTGTCTTGGTATTATGGTTTAGAATTCAGGGAAATGCATTTGTTTTTCCAAAGACAAAAGAAAGTTCACAAACACACAAACATGAACCTCACACTCCAGAAAAAGTCTGGGTATCGACCTGTGTCAAGGATTCATCATCGAGCTCGTGAATATCCATACGTTAGATAATTGACAGAACAAATTCAACTTTTGAACTTGCCTACAAAACAGTAAGGTTCAACCAGCAGGCACCAGTGATATTTACATCTTTCATTTGTCAAGACATTTCACTACAAGCCAACTAAAGAAGGTAAATACAAGACAAATTCTCTGAAGACCCTAAATGTCTAATGTCTTCATGGCAAACCATCAAATAGTTTTTAGATGTTTCAGTCTGGATGGAAGAAGTGGACTAACAGCAGAAGGGCTGAGGAACTGGTTGCACGTTATTGAAACTGCAACTTATCAATTAGATGATATTTAAAGAGTCGGCTGTAAACATCGCTCGTATTAAAGAAATACAACTTAGTCATTGTTTCAGTGTTAATTTAATCATACAAATGCTTAATTATAGATACAGGGGGAAAAGCTTTATTTTGACATTTTCTCTTCAGATAAAATGTGCTATTTCAGGACTATGTAAACTTTCATCTTATCCACTCACCATGCCAACCTTCTCAAGTCCATACATCGTCACAAACTAAAACTAGAGAATGAATCCAGCAATATTCAAATTTCCTCCCCATCCGTCACTCTCTCTCTCTCTCTCTCTCACAAACACGCACACAGAAATGCACACGAGCAAGATCACGAGAGGAAAGCACACACACACACACGCGCACAAAAAAAGACTGACATGACTCAAAGAAGCAATACAGTGTATACTGTTTGGGAGGAGGACTCTCCGCCAACTCAACACAATCACAAACAGATGCAACACAGAATGCTGGTGAATATTACAAACACGTGTACACGATCATAAAGGCAATGAACTCAAATATAGAGAATAACAATTAGATGTTCGTAACTACAACTGGGAAAACATTTGATAAATTCAAATGCATAAAAATAACAAGTGATTCTGTTTGAATGAAATATCCCTTTCGGAATGTTTTTTTTTTATTAAGTCCATCAACAACTTTTTCCTTTTTATTTTCAGGCCAAAATACATGATGAGATCCATTGTCTAACATTAAGTCAAGCTGAAGTAAAACTTCTGGTGGGACAGTCAAACCTAAATAAAGAAGCCAATGGATGTGAAATAATGAAAAAATATGTTTGAACTCACCAATCAGACTTTCTGGAAAGGTCCACACGATATTTTCTCCCTCAGCATTAGTGGGGAAGAGTTTTGTGCAAATAGCAATAAGAAAACATCAGTGCTTATAATGCTGATGCAAACCGTTAAATTCCATATTAAAATTGTCTTACTACAATCCAACTACAGCTTATCACCTTTTCTTCGCAATGAACTCAGCATGTCAAGTAAAACTTCTGTGAAAACTGGACCTGGTTGTAGATGCTTAAAGACGTTTGACCTCTCAGGCTTCTTCAGTTCTGGCTGACTGGTGGAAAAACCCAAGTATTTAACCTCTAGGGATTTGTTATAAAAGCTGCTGATGTCTCTGAGTTGGTTAATGTTCCTCGTCAGCTGAGGCCAAATGTAAATGACCGTCATTTTGAATGCACAAGTGTTTATGCACGTGTGTCCACACATGAAAACAAAAACTGGTGCAACTCCTCAGGTGGAGAATCTGCAGTTATAATGGCTATGGGATGCTCCTCTGATGGCAACAATGTGCAGACAGGGAGGATACGTAGTTTCCTATGAAAAGGAAGGAGGCCATCGACATCAAAGTAGAGAGGAGGTGGTGAACATCACTTTATCCCCAACCTGCAAGTGTCCTTTCAAGGGAGATTTAACAACCATGTCCACTTGGCCTCAGGGGACTTCAATTACTCTAATGACTGGTGTTACAGTCTGAGAACGTCTTTACAACCGTTTCCAGTTGCCTTTGATTCAATACGTCTTGGACCCTGTTCAGATCTGTTATCAACATCCATCCTCAGTGATCTGATCGTCCTCAGTCCAACTCAAGATCTGATCACTATGACCACAATCTTTTTCCTACTCAGCTGACGTCCTCTGACCTGTTTCACAATGAGCACCAAGTACAAGTGCATCCTGAAATCTTCCTGCAATGTCCCCACTCAGACCACATTCAGAGGTGGTCTGTGGCGCATGAGGACACATTGCAATGTCCGGCGTGAGCAGACGAATTTAGAGCCGACCACTTGTGATCAGGCTTTTGGATGCCCACGCCCTGGATGACTGAGAATCCTCACAGACAAGTTGGTCATTTGATTTTTAGCACCACCTGCTGGCTCTAAATGGGACTTTTTTTTTTGCACCTACAATGCACAACGTGACAGCAAATAAATAACATCAGCAATTAGTGAGTCGGTTCATCCAAACGATTCAGAATAATTCAAATACTTTAGAGGTACACACCAAGTAAAGCTCTCTCAAGTCCCATGTATGTGTGAATAGACACGTCTTCCTTTGCCCAAGTAGTATACACCATTTAATGTCAGTTAAATCCAAAGAGAAACCATTAACATACATGCACACACACGCACATATCTAGTACACATACCGTAGACATCAGAAACCGCAGTCACTCACCAGGCAAAATGGACTTAGATGGCTTTTTCGACTTTCTCACATCTCACAGGCTCAAACTCTCTTGCATCCTTTTGCGCTTCAGCATCTATTTAAAGCAAAAACCCACCCTTAAAAAAAAACAAACAAACAAAAACGCACACACTGACCCATGCAGTCTGAATGGAGCAGTAGACTGAGTTGTTGTATGACAGCACAGATTAGTGTCTTGGTTGTCTGGACTTTATCTTTGGAAGAGGTTGGGTTCCTACACAGGGATCGTCCATATTTTCTTTGCAATGATTTTTAGGAATTTGCCCTCGTCTTTACATGCTTAAAATGTCATGTATGACATTTTTCAGATATGGTAGGGATGAATTTATTTTTACTTTAAATAACCATGCAGAGATGAGCTCCTCAGTTTTGTGGAGGGAAACACTGGCACTGCTGTGTTGGCTTTGACGGGAAGTTTTTCTCAAAAAGGGCAAAAGGTGAAACGTTTGGGTGATAAATGCTTCCGAATAATGTAAAAAAATGATTCTTACAGAGTGAAGCAAAATGGGATTTATCGGACCTGGGTCAGCAACCAGGGTTCAAGGAGCTACATGTTTGTTACATCAGTAACATCTGAGTCATAAATAAAACACATAGTGGGATATTGGTGGTGACGTCTAGTTCTTAAACTACAAAAATACTTGAAACATGACAGTAGAACATCTGACCTCAATGTTTGACACTGAGCTAATTAATCGTCTTATTCTGGACTAGACCACAACTTATTTGAACCTTTGAGACGCTGAGTAAAGAAAATAAACCCTGTAAACTTATATCAGATTATTGGACCTGAAAGTGTTAAATTCCAGCAGCTACTCGTTCACAACACAACGGATGTTGATGCCCCTCATATCAGGCATTGCCAGGCAATGGCAATGGTGACCATTGCCATTGCGATCAAGTCAGCATTAAGTTGTATCACACCTGTCAGACAGCTTCTTCCAACTTGGCACTTCATGCAAATGAAGTCGTTAAAGGTGATTAAACCCACATTTTATAGATAAACTGGAACCATTTTTAGTCCAATGATGTGACGATGATGCTTGTAAGACATATACTGTAAGGAGATGCTTCCAAAGCACTTTGATTTATCTAGAGCTATTCTGTCTTTCTTGAACTCAGGCATTTACATGTAGCTGGTAGGTCAGGTCCTGGTCGTTGTCATACCAGCTGTTTAACGTCCCACATTAATCCCTTGGTTTGTATGTGAAACTTGTGTAAGGCTGTCATCGAGAGAGGACCAGGAATACTCCACACACTTCTATTAAAAACCACTCGTGTGGTGAGTGAAAGATCACACTTTTCCCACAAAGGCCTCAAAATCAAGTTTTGTACCGTGCGCCAACAACTTCCGAAACCTTTTCAGATCTGTGTAGGAACCCTGAAGAGACATGGGAAAACCTAAACTGTACGTAGGTTGTTTGAGGTTGATTTTCCCTTAAATTAATGTGTTTTACAGTGTAAATAAAAATAGTTGTGTGTATTTATCTTTAAGGGTTTTTAGCATAAAATGAAGCATTCACACATGCGAATCCAGGTGTTGATGTCAGGTGCGGATGTTTCACTGCAGCAGATGTAATCCATCACCTCACTGTAATTTGTGTTTCTGTGGAAAAGGGCTATGGACAGGGAGAGGGTTGTCATGAGTCAATATAAAACAAGTGTCCACTCTCCCCCCCCCCCAACTCCTTTAAATTAAGGACTCCCAAGGTGTTCAGCTCATCATCCATCATAGAGGGGGGGTCTTTCTGTTATTCTAGCTCTGTCCAAAGGGAAAGGGTCCGTGAATACCCTGGAAAAAATTAGAAAACAGGTATTAGCTTATAGATTAAAAAGGTTTTTATTACCGTACTTATATTATTATTAAACACAGTGAAAGAAAATGCTGTTATCGTAGGCATTTTCAGATGTGAACTCCAGACATATTTCAGAATTTGTCTCTCAAATGAAGAACGCAGCAGGAGATTCTCAGGGTCAAACGCGTAGGAAAATGTCCGAAACATTCAGGTGAGGGCTGGCTCCTGGACAGAACATGCAGGAGGCAAGACATAACGTTTAAATTGCACTGCGGAAATCGCATGTCTTTGTCTATAGCACATCAACACCTACATCGGAGCAACTGGCCGACATTTGCTTTCTCCCTAATAGCCCCTCCACAAAACTTCAGGAAAATGCCCAGAGTTCCGTGCCTGTCTGAAAGCAGCTCATCGGTTTCTCTGCAGAATCAAACCTTAGTGAGTTTAAAGAAGCCGCTCTGTCAATGTCCTTCAGAATTAATGTCTGCACTGACTGGCTGACAAAAGGTAAGTGCTTCTCAACAGACCAGTTTATCCACCATGAAGAGTTTAACAATAACGTGGCCACACCTGACTAATTCAGGGGATTTCATTGAGTTGACAAGTTATTAAACTGAGGCAGGTGCAGTGACAGAGGACGTTACCTTGAGGAGGACTGATGCATATCTCAATAAAGGAGCAATGCAGAGAAGAACAGAAGCAAAACTTTTGTGTTGGTCACAGTGCACGTCATCTCTCATATGGATTTTAACAAGAGTTGAAGTCCATAAAGAGGTGGTTTTGCTTTTCTAAGCTCTTTGGTGAAGTTGCATGATGCAGCTGAATACCCATCACCTCAGCCCCACTTCCAAACATGGAAGAGAACCTGTGGTAACCTTGACTTGTCATAAAAACTCAAAAGCTGTTTGGGCTACTGTAAAAAAACATGGCGGCCCCGTACAGAGGACCTGCTGCTGAGGTAAATATAAAGTATTTCAAATATAACAGGCTCATTCCAGGGTGAAGAAAACAACAATGCCAATGGATCCCTTTCACCTACATCTTACACACTGAACCTTTAAATGTAGGTGATAGGAACCAATAAAATACATTCCAACAAATATGAAGCTGATATGACGCTTCAGCTCTCTGAGTCAAAATAAGATTATGTTTTACTGTGTTTTACACGTTTTTTGTTACCCAGACCAGACGGTCTCATTCCTTCCTGAGCGAGGCTGGAAGAATGTTGGAATAAGTGGGACAATCCTAATAAAAACACACAAACTTTAAAAGATTACTTCTTCATTAATATAAAACACCCTTACATTGGAACTGATGAGAGAAGAGATTTCATTAAACTATGAGGATTAAACCCTATACATTAGCAACATGGCATTTTAGCAGTAATCATAACGTGGAGCTGAAGTTGACAGAGATTCCATTTGTTCTAGAGCCATACTTTCTAAAACAGAAAGGTTAGATGAGTAGAAATTGTCCCTGGATGAAGTTAAAGCTTCAGTGTGTAAGATTTAGGTGAAAGGGATCTATTGGCAGAAATTTAATGTAGAATAATCCTCATGATGTTTTCACTAGTTCGTTTCATCTAAATTGTATGAATTGTAGTTTTCTTTACCCCAGAAAAGGCCCTTTACGTTTAAATACTTTATATTTACATGGAGGGGACCCTCTCTACGGAGGAGCCATGTTTGTTACATTAGTACAGACTGAACAAACTAAACACCTTTTGAGTTTTTATGACAATTAAAGGTTACCACAGGTTATTTTTCATGTTTGGAAGGAGAGAGTGAGGTGAGGGGTGTTCAGCTGCAACATGCAACTTCAACACTGGATATCACTAAATTCTACACACTGTACCTTCAAGTGTCACCAAAATCCGACCGAATTTCATAGCATCCCATGTAATATTGAAAAAATTGAGATTGAAAAAACACAATGCTTGCTTATCTGATTATTGGAAACCAGGCGTTCACTCATGTCCAAGTGGTTTTCCTTCAGTAAAAACGTATTTAAATAACATTTTCATAACAGTAACTTAAACTGAGAAACTAACTTTCACAGCACATTTATGATGGAAGAGAGAAAAAAAATCTTAGTTTAAACGACCCTGTGAAACTTTGATTTAGTGCTGTGGAACATTGTTGTTGACAGGAGCAACTTCAAACGTTTGTTAGTTTTACACTTCAACTGGTCCAGAAATGAAACTGAAACAAACTAACCCAAATATTTGAGTGGTTTCTGTTTGAAAACATTGCTAAACATGTGTCAGATGAAGGATTCAGTGTTAAAGTGTCGCCTCTTGTTGTAAACTTGCTGATCCAGACGACCACTGGTTTTAAATTACCACACCTGAAAACACGTATCACGTGATTATTGACGAACACTGGGCACGTGCATGTCAGTGCTCTCTGGTTTCGCTCATTCTGCTCCGAGGCAAACAGATAACGTTTTAAAAATGTCACGGTCAATTGTATGGGGTCAGCCCTACAGGAAGCACATGATGTATCACAGCAGCCAGGGGACACTCATACTTAGAATGGATACATGTATCTTAGTTGGTCTTTCAACTTAAGTAAGCTTCCATAGGACCAGCCAGGGAAGTGAAGAGTAGTTTTATGGAGTATAAAATCTAAAATGTGATGCATACATACCTGACCGTAAGTCACAACAGAAAGATTGGTTTGGAGTCCATTTGAGGCCCTATTTACAGCATTATGAGACAGTCCATTTTGATCTTGCTGGATTGGCTCCTGTGTGCGTTCCCACACCCCACCAGGTTCTCTGAAGCTGTTGTCGGTGGCGTCGTGCTTGTTCTTCTGCGGCGAGGCGAAGGGGTTGAAGTCTCCCTGCACGTTCCGTTGGGGTTGGGTGTTGAATTCTGTCTCAAAGGAGGACAGCTGCTGGGTCACGCCAAGGAGACCTCCAACTTCTACGCTAAGGATCACCCAGATTACATCTGTGAAGACAAGCAGCATAGGATTACTATATGATGGACATGTTTCTGTGTTGTGTGTATTGTATAGTTTTGGTTCAATTAGTTGAACAAAAGAATATATATCTTGGGAAAGAATTGTAATAAAAAAAGAATTCACAGATGAATAAAGGGAAAATAAAAGCTAATCACAGTCCTTCTAAAGTACCTCATTAGAAATTAAACATTATTGCTGATTTCTTACCTCCATAGAATAAGCCTGTGGCTGTACACATCCTCCACTGACCCTGGTACATGCCAGGAGTTGTGGGACTTCGCATCTGCACACTAACATCTGATATTTCCTGGGGGTCTAGAGACTTCACCATAACTGTGTTTACGTGCCCAAACTGATCCCCACCAATGTACTTGAGACAAACCCCAGGCGGCCACGCCTCTGCACCTGTCAAACAAAGATAGGTGCAATTAAAACACAGTTCAATAACAACGCAGCGTCATGGTTGATACGACACTGCAGTGCACAGAGTTAGAGAGTGTGCATGTAATGTGCTCCATACCTGTGTTCTGTATCCTCCAGGTCTTTGTGAACGGTGTATCTGGAGGAACGGACTCTCCTTCTCCAATTGTCACATCTTCAACGAAGGACATGGATGGTGTGTTGACATTGGGACTTTCAAAGTCATAATATGCACCGATAGCAGCCTGAAGGTTCCTGTGTTAACAGAAAGGAAACTGTGTTATCAAAGGTTGACATTACCAAAGTAATCCTGGTCACTTTGACCAGATACTTGCTGAGTCAGGAAGCTGAACTCTGCTCTGTACAGCTGATGTTGTCTTTCGGATGTGTTTCCTTACAAACTACTGAACATAATCAAATATGACAGTCCATTCGTCAGATCCTGACAGTTAAATTGAAAATACACCCAAGAATATAATTCACACGTATTATATGGCCAAGTAATACTTTATGAGTCAGAGACAAATCAGAGAATGGCTCAACGGCTACTGAACAATGGGCAATGTTAAAATCATGTTTATGAAATAAAACATTTCCTTCAGGGATCAAGAGCAGTGATACTGTTTCATAAAGAAAATGCCAGAAATTTACAAGGGAACTTTGGGAAGTGGGTGGACACACAAGAGCCTGATTAAAAAAAGAACAGACAAAACAAAGACGCATCTAAAGAAAGAATATCTTGACCTTTCAGCAGAAACACTAGTTTGAGTTCAGTGTTGTCCAATCACATCTGAAAAACCAATGGGTGCATGGTTATTCTAAATGGCCACAGTCCAAGGACTGCACACTTTAGGTCAGTCTCTCCCCGAAGGCATTTATAGTGCTGCACTCGGTTGTACACACCAAAGTGATGGAAGTGGCTGTGTGATAAATGTGAGGATTCAATAAAATAAATATTTAGTTTGTGAATGACACTCAAGTCAATCATTTGCAGCTCAATAAAAGATGCATCAAAGGTCAAACTGAAGCTGTTTTCATGAACATTTCCAGAAAATTGGGTGTAGACATTTTACAGAAATGGCTTTTCACATACGAAGAACGCAGCAGGAAGTTGTCTGGGTCAGATGCACTCACAACATTATATTACATTTAGTCGACACTTTTATCCTATGTGAATTCCAATTAGTGTATTCAACATCTATGAGGGGTTATTTAGGGTTCAGCATCTTGCCCGAGGACACTTCTGCACGGGCTGGGATTCGAGGCGCCAACCTTCTGGTTGGAGAAGAATTCTGAAAAGATAGACCGGATCTTCTCTCAGTGGTCTTTTCTGAGATATTAATGACTTCAAGCTGTTTTAAGATTTCAGATTGTGATGCTGTTGAACTGTACTGGATAATGCAAACAGGTGTTTCTGCTATAAATCCTCACAGATATGAATGAAGAGTGTCAGTAAAACACAAACTGCATCTTCTCAAATTACCATAAGGTTGAATTTACAACTCTCAGCAACATTAAACCATTAGAAAGGTTGAATTTATTGCAGGAAAGTTGTGCATTAATTTTAGTTGTGAACCTTCTTAATTAACTGCAAACTGACTGTGGATGTTGAGCTAAGGGCTGTATTGTTCTCAAACTAGTATTTCAGTTTGAATGTCTGTACACTGTCCGTCATTACTTCAGCAAATACATCCAGTTGATCGTAATTGTACTTATTTTATAACAGATGAATTCATGGATTCATGGTCTTCCTCTGCCATCTCATTACATTCCACGTTTCTGCAACAGTTTCCACAAAAACTAAACATCAAAGCCATCGGGAATGTTGATTGATCTACTGATTGGTTTGATCGACGGTGATTTCTGCAACAGAAACTGATGCCAAGTGATGTCATCTCACCAGCGTGACGACATTACGCCCCGAAAGAAAAAAAAAACTGAGCGATGGGGAAAATATCGGTGTTTGAGTGGATTTTGTCCCTTTGAACTGGATGCGATCAACACCCACCGGTATCGATCGCCCCTCCGCTGGTTATCGGCTGATCGGGGACACAGTGACCACTTGGCAGCAGCTGATAGCCGCCGATCACGACTGGTTACGTCAGCAGAGTAACGTGAAGAGAGTCGAGTCTCCCTCTGAGGTTTAACTGGCTCCGAACACGATTATGTAACATGGCTGATAATCTACGCTGAGGGTTCCCTGCGTCTACGTTGTCCTGCTCGGTAGTTAGCTAGCTCACGCGTTGTGTTGTTAAACATTCCGCCCACCTGGATACGAGACAAACTTCCACTTCCGTGTAGCCCTGAACCGATAGACGAGGAGTTACCTGCCATTCCTCCTCCCTGGCTTCTCAACTTGTGTGTCCGCCTCCATTGTTGTTTTTTTTTTTTTTGTAGCATTTACACGCATGCTAACAAGCTAATTAAAGCGTCGCGCTGCTGCTGCTTCCCGACAACACGGGCCCTCGCATCCCCGCACTCACCAGTTGGTCATGTCCAGGAAGAAGGCGCAGCCGGCGGGGTTGAGCTGGAAGCCCAGCAGTCTCTGGAACTCCGAGATGAGGACGTCCTTGTCCGTGGTGCCCATGCAGCTGAACTTCTGCATGAGCTCCGCGTCCACGTCCATGTCGGTGCCCTCCATGGGTGGCGGGTGTCCCGCGGCGGAGACCCGCGGAGCGTGGGGCGGGGGAGGTAGCACTGGGAGAGGGAGGGAAGATGAGGATGAGAGGAGGGGGACGCCTCTCTCAGTTCGGTCCGAGGCCTCGTCCGGCCATAACAGCCAGCTCCACAACAACAAGCGGCAGTGCGCATGGCACCAGCGGGGGGACGGTGTCTGACGCCGCCGCAGCCCGCGCGTCACCCTTCGCCAATCACACGGTGGGCGTCCACGTCATCTGTTGCTATTTGCAGCCTCCTTCTCATTGGGTCGTCAATTAAAGCCGAGCTGCTCCGCTGCTCTCCACAGTCAGTGCAGGGTTAATGTGGGATGATTGTAGTTGCACATGAAACACAGCAGATGAGGTCACAGACGTGGGGCAGCTCCTCGACATTTAAAAAAAAGACAGAATGACGACGAATGACGAGTCTGTGCGCAGTTCTGTC